CTCCCATACATGCCCCCACTGGGCAGTGAACTCACAAACTAGGTATGTGCCCTGACCAGGAATCAAGCCCAAACCTTATAGTGTACAGGGCGATATTCCAACCAACTGAGCCACCAGGCAAGGGCCCTACATTTCCTTCTCTGATGCCTTGGCTTTGGGTTGCTTCTATTGTCTGGAATCAAGAGACCATTAGCATGGTGTGGGTGGGCAGGCAGTGGCAGGGATTCCAAACAAACAAAAACATGAGTTCTAGAATACTGGCTGTGTTACTTGCTGTATGACCTTGGGAAATGGCTTAACCTCTCCAGCAGAGCTTCTTCATCTGTAATATGGGTGTAATACCCATTGAGCAAAGTTCTTGTGAGGATTAGGTGAAATAGCAAGTGGAAAGCAGCTAGTACAGAAAGCCCAGTAACTAACAGTGTTGATGTTGAAAATCCACTGCTGCTAATATTGATGTTCATAAAGATGCCTACTGATCCCACAGAAATTCTACTCATCATGAAGCGTCCTCTCAAATGTCCTCCACGTTAAACCTGCAGCACTTTTTTTTTTCACTTCTCTTAAAGTTCTTATTTATATTTACTGGCAAACATGTTCCATCCTTTCTGCTGAGTTCTAAACTCTGCACTATAGGCAGAGATTATGCATTTTTGTGTTTCCTGAGTCCAAAGCAAGTAGTGCTATGGGCATAATAGCGGCTCAGTAAATATTTGGAGACAAGGTCACACAAAGAGAAATGCTATCATTGACTTTACAATCTAACACAAGATCAAAACATTTTAATATCATTGACAAGTTAGACAAGTATATTGATATTTGGTAATAAACTAATTTTTAGTGGATATTTAAAACAATTAATGGAAGACTGTAATTTCTTTTCAGATGCATGTGTTTATTTAACATTCATTGTTGGTGTCTTCCAAGTACAAAAGGAAAGAAAATATTCATTCTTCTAAGAAGCAATATCCTTAATTTGCATGTATACAGTAATTCAAATTTTGCAACTGTTTTGGTCTTGACACAAATGTTCACATTTATTTTTAACAACAGCTCTGTGAGGAGATCAGCTATTAATCTCTACATATTATTCATGAAGGAACTGAGACTATTAGACTTTGTTATTGCCTTCGATTGACCCAAATGATGACCTTTCTGATGAAATACCCATTGTTTAGCAATATGATAAAAACTGTTAGAGGAAAAGAAAAAGAAAAAAGGCATAAAAAGTTCTATCTCTCAAAATCAGGCCATAACATTTCAGGCAAAAAGCTGAAAACATATTTAAAGATACATAAGGGTATGTAGCAATCAGCATCTTGTGGATGGAAGGCATTGTTAAATTCCCCACGTTCACACATGTTCTGCATTTGACCATCATCATGCCATCTGAGGCAGGCAGAGCCTATATTTATTTATCCCAATCAACAAATGAGGCCAAGAGATGACCATTTTAAATTCAGCCATCCATAACTGAACCAAAGAATTAGAATCTAAACCACCCAACTAAGTCTTGGGCTGTGATCAACATATTTATAGAATGCCTACTGTGTACAGCCTAAAATACAATCTAGTCAAGTCACAAAATTCATTCTCCCTTAATTTCTAAGATAAAGTCAGTACTTGCCTGAAAGCAATAACCCTAACTTGATCTATTAGGCTTAGTTTTGCAAATAAATTATTCTACTCTAACCATTCTTCCTACCATATTTAAATCTGTACCAAATAGGTAAAAGTTTCATTGTAAATGCTGCTCTTTTGTTGTGCCTCCTGGTGCCTGTGAGAGAACCTTATGCAGGTAGAATTGGTGTTAGGTGTCACACTAATAGGAAAGCAAGATATGTTAAAAAGCCAAGAGGTTTCAGTGGGGAGTTGCCACAGGTTTCAGTGGAATGACAATTACAAGGTAGATGGATTATTTAATGACTGCTATGATCTTTACAATAGTGAGGATCATTATTTTAAGGTTGATTTGCATAATGGTTGGCCTAGTAAGAACAATGGTGAATGCTAATAGCTGCAGGATGCAATAAAACATTATCTGGGCTGAACTGTTAAAGGAAAAGTTGCCAAAGTGTGACTGTTTAAGCACTTTACCTTATCCCAGGTCATATCCACACATAATTAAATGTGGAGTTCTGGTATGCCTTCAAAAACTGGCAAGAGATGACTGAAAGGGCAATAACATCCTTTATACAGAATGACCTCCTTTATACAGAATCCTTACCTGGTAGGCTTTGCTTATTTTAAAAAATTACATAACTTGCTGCCCTCTCTGAGGTGGCTGAATTTGCAACTATCATCACCCATCCTCCAAACAACTTCCCACCCCCCTCTTGCCACTCCCCACATCTGGCAAATGCACCAAGGAAGAATAAATCTTACCTATGGGCTGCATAACTTTCACTGAACCTTTGGAGAAGTAGAGTTGACCATGTCTAGCAGCAGGTGATATTTTCACGGCAAACAAACACTGTCACTTCAAAGTAATAATCCTGCATTCTGAGTTGCAGGTTGAAGGTAGCTATTAACAAAGAGAATATAAAAAGATATGTCATCTCCAATCAGATTTATCATTTTTAACTATTTATTGCCTAGAAATTGGATAGGCCTGGTCATCCTGTGGTTTGTATTCCAAATTAGTATTTGGAGATTACTTACTTATTTCTTTTCTTTCTCCCAAGTGTTTGAACTCATTTCCACCACAAGAGGGCAGCCATCTCTAAAAAACAATCAGCCTAGCTCTTAAGAGAGAGACAAAATTTAGGAAGTTGTGCTTAGGAAAGGCAGTCATTCATTCGGCAGTTCCTCTGAAATTGTATAATCACACATAAAAGAGATCCTGTGATGGGGAACACTGAGATTGAATAGATTGTCCAGAAATGTCAGTTTCATACACTAACAAGGTTCCCCTTTTGCAGGTTATGAAGGCCTGGAGCTGAGACATCCTTGATGTCATCACCAGAGATTTTTTTTTCACCTTGACTTGAAGAGCATCCAACAGCTATCCACTTTCTCCTCCTCTTTAAAAGCTACATACTGATTTAGGTCTCAGTAGTTTTGTTCTGTTTTTGAAATCTCATTGATGACAGAAACAATTGTTAACTTCTCGATTAAACTTGATAGGGAAGGAAGTAGTTTCAGTAGCACAATAAACACTTTCTGACCTGTTTCTACGAGTAGAGTATGTTCTTTTGCCAACTTGTTTGGTCCAGAGATTCAGAGTGACAGTCCACTGTTATAGCACTTTATTTTCAGGCAAAACCAAAAACAAGTAGCATGTTCCTGAATATTTTGCTCAACCCCAGCCCCCCATTTATCTTCCTGGTAGGCAGGCTTCCTCTGAAATACTTTATCGGATGGTTATGCTTTCAGAAACAGCGAGTGCCTATTTCCCTTCTGTGAGTTGCTAATCCAATTTACAGGAGCAGAATCTTGAATTATTTCAGCTTCCAAACTGAAAAAATAATAACATGGGTAATATATTGTTATGAGCTCCCGCTTCAGGCTTTTCTCTTTCTGCTTTGCAGACTTGAAGGTTCTGTGCAGTCAAACTTGACTTTGCCATCTGACTGTTTCTAAAAAATTTTCTGCCTTTGGCTTCTGCGATCATTTGGGCAACTTGGTTGTGCTTTGCATGGAGGATCCTGGAATCCTGGGAGGGTCAGAAAGCCTGAAGCTCAGGTTGCAGCAGATTTGGGGAATATTGCAGCTGAGGAAGACAAGTGACTTGACCCATGTCATAGACCGGCTGCTGGGCCCAGTGGAAGGCGTTGGGACAGAAGGTTCTAAGGTATCAATACCGAATTGTCTTGTAGGCTTGGCTCATTATTTTACCTTCCTCTGAGCTGCTAATCGCCTGCCTCTGAGCTGGGAGAGAGATAAATATCACAAGGCATGAAGTGATTGCTACCATAAAAAGAAATAAAATCCCTCTCATCCTCTCTTCTCACTGCCACAGGCAGAGTCCAAGTTGCACGTGTCATGTATAGCAGGATGACATCCATTTCACATATACAGACATATTTATAGAAATGTTTCATTAGCATGTATTTACATGTATATATTTATATATAGACATACACACGCATATTTGTGTATTACATATATTTATTTGAATATGTGCATATTTATATAAATATAAATGTATACATGTATCTATACAAATGTAGTGCATATACATATATTTACATATGTAAATATCTGTACATCTTAAAGTTTAAATAACACCCAGTTTTCAAACTCTATTTTTCTTTTAATTCTCCTTCCTCGTAACTTGGTTGAGTTTTGTTTTGTTCTTTTTTTTTTAATAGTCTATTACCGAAAAACTTCAAACTGAAAGTTGAATAACGGGCCGGGTAGGGAAATAATGACTTAACCCCTGTTTGTCCCGGATTGCCTCCCCGGAGTGCTAGCGAGGTTCTGGTGCTTCGGTAGATACCCCTTTGGAGAACAGGGGCTAGAAGCGCGAGCGCCCCCGTCGGCTGCCGTGGGTCCCCGCCCTCGGCCCCACCCCGCTGCGGCTGCCCCGGCGCGCGGTCCACACCCCTGCGCGCAGCTCCCGCCCGCTCGGGGATCCCCGGCGAGCCGCGCCGCCGAGGGGGAGGTGTTCGGCCTCGGCCGGGAGGGAGACGGCAGGCGGCGTCCCCTTTAAAAGCTGCGAGCGCCGCGCCACGGCGCCGCCGCCGCCGCCGGAGTCCTCGCCCCGCCGCGCTGCGCTGCGCCCGGCTCGCGCTGCGCCCGCCGCCCCGCTTCCCACACCCTGCCGGGGATTGTCAGCCGCCGCCGGACAACAGCCGCCACAGGCTCTGCCGCCGACCCGGACGACCTCGGGCGAGCGCCTCCCGGATTATTGGGGTCTCCGAGGCACCCGCGCGCCGCAGACCCCGTTCGGGCTTGAGCGCCTGGCCGTGCGCGCCACTGCGCCGTGGCCTCGGCTGCCCGGGCCGCCCCAGACCTTATGACCGGCGCACAGAGCGCTGAGGAGACAAGCCTGAGCGCCGCGATGCCGATCACCTCCTGCCGGAGCTCGGGGGCCAGGGACGCGCCGGCCGAGGTGTGATCGGACCCCAGGCTGGCCACAAAGGGTACAGCAGCTTGGCCCGGTGGCTAGGAGAGCGAGGGGAGAGCGCGGCCACCCGCCTCGGCGGCCCGGGACTCGGCTCGACTCGCCGGAGAATGCGCCCGGGGACGACGGAGCGCCTGAGCCGCGGTGGTTTCTACTGGCAAGCGCTAATGGGGGTGCGCTGGAGTAAGGCAGAGTGATGCGGGGGGGCAACTCGCCCGGCACCGAGATTGCCGCTGCGCCCTTTCCCGGACCCGGCGTCGCCCAGGATGGCTGCCCCGAACCATGGGCCGCAGCGGAGCTAGCGCGGAGCGCCCGACCCTCGCCTCCCGAGTCCCGGAGCCGGTCCCGCGCGGAGCCACGCGTCCCGCGGGCGCTGGTTCCTAAGGACAACGACAGCACCAGCTTTTCCTTTCTCCCTTCCCTTCCCTGCCCCGCACTCCTCCCCCTGCTCGCAGTTGTTGTGTGTCAGCACTTGGCTGGAGACTTGTTGAACTTGCAGGGAGAATAACTTGTGCTCCCCACTTCGTGCCGGTGCCTTTGCCCCAGTGGACCCAGCCGCACCGCCTCCGAACACGCCGGTCCTCTGCTTCTTCGCTGGCCCTACCCCGAGACGCCGTTCGCTGCGTGAGGACAGCGACTTCCCGGCCGGCACCCGGGGGGAGAGGGAGGAGGCAAAGGAAGGGAACTCGCTCCCCTCGCCAGGTCATTCGGCCAGAGCTTTTTCCATGTGGAGGCTCTTTCAATGGACGTGTCCCCGCGTGCTTCTTAGACGGTCTGCGGTCTCCTAAAGGTAGAGGACGTGGGCCCGGGACTAGCCCTGGGGGTGGAGGGGGGTGCGGCGCTCGGACGGCTGCTGCCGCTGAGCCCCTCGGGGTCCGGCTTGGGCGGATGTAAACAGACCCCCCTCCAAGTCCACGTGCAGCCGAACCCCTGCTGGGATGCCCCCATCCTACCGCCTCCGGCGACCGTCAGCCTCGCCCTCCTGGCTCGCCCTCTTCCGCCCCTCCTCCTTCTCCTCGCTACGGTATTTTATTAGGGCTGTTAACACTTAGATGATTTTTTTTTTTTAAGTCAAAGAAATCCCCTCGAGAGGGTGGATTTCACCCGTTAGCTGCCAACCTGTATGCCCTGTCATGGCCATTCCTTCTCCCTCCTTCAAGTTTCTCCAGGAGACTTGCTGTCTCCACTTAGAGCCATGCCTCCTTTGGGACATTACTGAAGGCTGGGGTTCTCCCTGTTTGTTTCCAGGACTCAAGGGGCAGTACTTCAGTGCCACCTGTACTGACACGTGAATTAATAGATATTAGTTGGCTATTTACGTAATCCCAGGAAGATACCTGTGTATCTTGACTGCATGGGGGAGGGAGGTGGGGTCCGGGATTGGAGGGGCCTGTCCCGACATCTCTGAGGTTAGAGGCGTGGGCCGCAAGTTGCAAGTGGGTTGGGAAGTTGTGGCCTTTAGTTGACTGGATCTAGAAGTTATAGACTTTGTGTGTATATGAGGAAGTTCTATACAGTGCCTCTAAGGAAGTCACATGCACCATTCGTGCGTGTTTATATGCAAGCGAGCGTTGAGCGCTGAGCAGTTTGGGTTTGTTTAGGGGACAAAGGGTGTCAGACCCAGTAATGGTATTCCCAGGTCCCCTGCACTGGCTGTCAGCGCGAGCGTCACAGAAAAAAAAAAAAAAAAGGTGACAGTCATTGACTCCGGGGGTTGGGGGAGTTGGGGGAGGGTGCGGCGAATTAAGAGTGGGATAGGAGTGGGAAAGTCTTATGGTTCAGGAACTAGGGCCCCTCCACTCTCCCAAATGCTGTAGCCTCAGCCACTTCTGAAGTATTCCCACGAATGTTGCAAGCCAGGTGGGCACCCTGGAGGAGGAGGCAGGCGGACCAAGCGGGAGCCGGGGCTGCGGGGGCGGAAGGGGGGAGGGCTGGGCGGGGACCTCGGTGACTCACGTCGGCCCTGTCTGCAGGTCGACCATGGTGGCCGGGACCCGCTGTCTTCTAGCGTTGCTGCTTCAGGTCCTCCTGGGCGGCGCGGCCGGCCTCATTCCCGAGCTGGGCCGGAGGAAGTTCGCGGCGTCTACTGGCCGCTCTTCGACCCAGCCCTCGGACGACGTCCTGAGCGAGTTCGAGTTGCGGCTGCTTAGCATGTTCGGCCTGAAGCAGAGACCCACCCCCAGCAGGGACGCCGTGGTCCCCCCCTACATGCTAGAACTCTACCGCCGACACTCGGGCCAGCCCGGAGCGCCCGCTCCGGACCACCGGCTGGAGAGGGCAGCCAGCCTCGCCAACACTGTGCGCAGCTTCCACCACGAAGGTGAGGCATGGAGTAGGGGAGTGGGGGCGGGAGCGGGGGCGGGGACGAGGGGAGGGAGCCACCCCGCCAAGCGCCCCACTGTGGGCAGATTGCAGGCATCCCTGGAAGGGCAGCTTGGCCAGGGCATGGAATTGGTTTTCAGTCTGGTCTCTGTAAAAACCTTTCCGAACCTGGCTGTAACTCACTGCATGGGTGGTGGGGGAGCCAGGGATTCCCCGCTGGTAAATCCGCACCCTTTTCCTGGCTTGCAGCCAGAAGGGCGACTCCTCCTCCAGGAACTGGAGAGAAATCAAGTGATGGGAAAGATGAGGGCAAATGGCATGCCCCTAGTCAGCTAAACGTGCAAGAATTCCAGAGGGGAAGAAGAGAAGGAGGAGGGGCAGATTGGGATCTCTTTCCCTCTGTTTGGAAGCCCTCACTCTATAAATCTGCCTCTCCTGCTTAAGCCGGGGTTTCAGGCTAGACAGAGCCAAGGGCAGAATTTTCAGAGATTGTATTGAAAAATCAAAGCCCAGGGCCCAAAGTCTTTCTAATTTACAGTTGATCTGGGCCTGGTTTGGAAAATTTCGAATCCCTATCTAATCCCCGTGGGAGATCAATCCCACAATCAATCTTATTGTTTCCACAATGACTTTCTTGTCTTGTGCTTAAATCTGAGATGAACTCGGAATAGAGACGAGGGGAGCCTCAGATAAAAGCTTTTGCAGCAGCTGCCTGTTTTCCTTCATGTGCATTGAAATGTGGATTTTTTTTCTTTTATGATACTGGATGTGGTTTTTCTAAGGTAGGATATTTTGCTTGTTTCATCGGAAAGGCATTTAGTGGATATGAAATGTTTTAGAGCAGCTCTTGAGATCTGTTGTACATAGGTTCTTAGAGCAATTAGTCAAAAACATGTTCCGCTTCAGTTCTTTTCCTACACTTTTAAATGCTCCTTTGGCTTAATACATTCTAAATAGGGCATGAGTTCCTTCAAATTCTACAGAAGAGTACAAAGTTGCATGTCACAGGGTAACCACTTGTAGGATATTGGGGAGTTAGGAGTGAAGTTCCCTTTTTCTTATCTTCTCCTGCTAAGGTGGTAAATTTCAACTGGAATCTACACTCTCAACTGTAGAAATGCTTTCATCATAACCTTGGGATGATTAGAGAGCCAGCTCATCATTTTCAGCCGACGATGGTTAGAATAGTTTTTCTGGGTAGGAAAGAAGGGCTGCTTTAGCCACCTCTTCTGGAAATGTAGCATGGAAACCATTCTTTACTTTTAAGGCCAATGAGGTACTATATGTCTCTTACAACATGAAAGGAAGATTGTTTAAATCATTTGACGCCTGAAACACTCAGTTGCATGAGGATTCCATCAGTGAAGTCTGCATATTTCTTCATCTAGAAGTGGTTTGATCAAAACTGAATAGGCTGCAAATTATTTGAGAGTGTAATTTCAACTTAAATAGCACGCTTAGTTTATGTGCCAGAAACTATACCTTTAAAAGTGTAAATGTGGAGTGTGAAGTAGTACAGAAGTTACCAACTTGCTTAAAGTCAACTTTCAGTAACCTCAGATGTTAATGCAATTAGATGATAGAGAAATGCTTTGTAATTTTTGCCCCAAATTTCAACAAATCCACTTTTTTTTCTTGTTACAACTAGTGTATCAGCCTTAGGCCACATATTGCACTATTTGAAGAGCATTTCACTTATGTGTAACCCAGGATTTTGTTTTTATAAACATCTTTGTGGTGTATATGGCACTACAAATCTTTTAATAAACCATGTGATTAAGGCTGCTGGCTTAAGGGAAGAATTTGGTTCATATATTATTAATGGGCATTTACCTGGTAGGATCTGATTACAAGAATTACTTGTTGGTTTAATTTGTGGGTGGGAGCTGGATGATTTGGTGAAATTATGAGATAAAAGATATGATGGAATTCTTTCAACCAATGTGTGAAGATAATGGGACCACAGGGAAGGAGATCCAGAGACAAAATTATCAGTTGTGGTTTCTCCTCTTAAACTTTGTCTTGTCCTTTCTGCAATGGCTTTTATTGGGGATAGCCCAAGTGCTGAAAAGTTTTCTTTTTTCAAAGTCATTAAGAAGTGCTTCGGCCACATAGCTTTCACACTGCTATTGAGGATAGAAAAGTCACTTCTCTAACTGGAGTGTTTTGTGCTTTGCTGTAGCAAGAAACATATTGAAATGGGTTGGCTTCTTTGGCTGAGCAAAATGTCTTTACTCCTTCCTGTTAGATTGGACCATGTATTGCTCTCCAGAGTCGGGAAGACATGGTCTTCTTTTTGCATGCAATAACTGAATTATTTTTTTCTATGACAAAAGTTTTGAGATAGAGATTAACTGTGTCTCCACAGGTATAATTATTGCAAAAATATCTGTACAACAGGAAAGTTCAAGAAATAATCATTGCCCTTTGAAGGAGAATTTGTATCACATTCTCAGTGCAATGAAACAATTTGGTCACTGGACACCCCCAAAAGCAATACTTTCCTGGTGTGCTTCCCTAGTGTCCCCAGGTATTTCAGTGTGATTATGAAAGGCCCCATTCGATAGAACAGTCATTCCAGTCGGAAGTTCTCATAGAAATTGAGGCATTGATGCCCAATCGTAGTTCTTGCCCTTAATGTTTTCTGTTCTACTTGTGTGCGTGTGTATATATGTGTGTGGTTCTCTATAATCTCTCTTGTTCCCTTCTCATTAAACTATTTTGTCTTTTTTTTTCTCTTTTAGACTTGCCATTTGTATGGTTCACTAAGTAGTGAGAGGATAGTAAGAGGCACTCAGTCATTCCAAAGGTGCTGGAGCTCAGTGTGGGCAGAGGCCAAGTCAGGGTTTCTGATAATGACCATTGTGACCACAGTTTTCCTTTAGATGCCATCTCCTTTGTTGTCTTTTTTTAACTGACTCATTTTAATCTTTTGTGTTTTATCTTTTTCTCTTTGATATTTCAGTTCTATAACCATTATTCTATATTCTAGAAAATATTGTTTGTTATTTTCAGCCACTTCCATTTTATTTCAGGACAGTCATTTCCAACCTTACTGATTTGCTAGAACATCCCCAGGTTTTTGTTCTTATTATCTTAATGGATTTTTTTTTTTTTGGTCCAGATAGTGTTGCAAATTCTCAAAACATAATGATAACTCACTTTTTTGCTAGAAATCACCATATTATATGACAAAAAGGCAGCCACAAAACATCAGCGCTTCCAAACAAGATCTGTATGTCCCAGTGGGCCCTGCCACTTTACTCTTCTGCTCATTGAGTTCTGTGTGCTCTCCCCACCATACTTGGGTAGTATGTTCTTATCCCTTTAGTTGGGAAAGAAGGCACCCTGTGGTTATCATTGTATTAATTATTAGTATAGTCCTAATGGTTCTGACTTTTGCTTGAGGTTTTGATTCATCCCTGTGTTACGTAGTGCCGTCTAGTGGCCAGCGTCTTGGAAACTGCAGCAGACTCAAGTTCATAGCTCTGCTCTTCATTTACTAGCTCTGTGACCTTAGGAGAGGGACATAACCTCTCTGAGCTCCAACTATTTCATTCACAAATAGAGATAATAAGTTTCTCTCTAACCAATTTATTGTGAGATAATTTATTTAAAGCTCTTAGTCCGACTTGGCACAAAGAAGCATTCAGCACCCTAGTTATCATTACTACTGTGACTTCTTTCTTTTATGTCGTAGTTTCCCCTTATCTAGGGAAGAGGACGCCAGAGTGGACCTAGGCTGCCTGAGAGAATTCAGCCCTGTCTTTTGGATTATTTAGATGTAGATGAATAGTTGACAGAGAGTAGATGGCTCTTTACTTTTGCAGAAGAGGTTGAATGTCATTGCCCATTTTTCTTTACTTTCCCCCATTTTTGCCATCATAGCTCTATTTATTTGGTTAAGAACTTTTAAACAAATGTGAAGAACATTTATCTGGTTAAGAACTAGTTTCAGGAACCCAGGTCTGAGATAGCCTGGGGTCCTCAGTTCCCTTGGCAAGTTCAGATTATTCCACAGGAGTTATTTCCAGAGAATTAACAACCGTTTAAACCTCTAAAAAAGCATATTTTATCTGCTTAGGTAAATGGTCTATATTTTCATACTCCCTGGGCTTGCTGTGATAATTTGCAGAAGTCTTTTTTTTTCTTTAATTTACTTCATTTCATGTAGGTTTTCATTTTTCAACCTGAAGAAAAATTTATGTTGCTCCCTTGCAGATTAAAGGAAAGGGTGGTAGGTACCCTAACCTCGAGCAGTTATTTCCCAGGGTTTGGGGGTTTCAGCAAATTTCTCACTCAGGTCTGCAGTCAGGGGAGCTGTTATGGAGGCTTTTGTGTTGAGGAGGAAGAGAGCTCTCAAAAAATAGATTGAGATGAAGCTGGAAAGGCAGAGGAAGGTCTCATAGTACTTGATATTATTTAACAGTGAAATTTTTCCCTTTGTTACGATAACTAAGTGGTTATGTGTTTTGCCACTTATTCCCAGTGAGATTTTGAAGCACATGAAATTGATTGCTGTTTTTATCAGTCAAACCTGGTCAAATGGTGGCAATTTTATCTGATTCAATATTATATTTATCTTTGGAGTGTTCTTGTTTTATTTTCTGCCTGCTTTAAACTCATCTTCTTTACTTTAATTACGTGTCTCTTGTGCTTATCTTGGAGATTGTCCCTCCCTTGTTATTCTTTGGCTATGTGTGTGTGTCCATGGGTCTGTGTGTTTTTAATTTTTTTAATTTATGAATTGAGATACAGAGTTTCTGTTGCAATTGTGATTTCTCTGGGCATCTTCACTAATAGAGCTGGTCAGCAAATACCTTGGATAATTTACCTTACCTTCCCCACCTTTAAAAGAAAAGAAGGTGTACTTAGGTGGGCTGGCATTCGGAGAAGTTAGATGCAGGTTGGCTTTGGGTCACTGCATCTGGGGAACATGGCTGATTTTGACTTCACTCTTCTGTTTCTTTTGACATCCTGTTTTCTCTGGTAGCCCTTGCTTTCTCTGCTGAAAGAGTACCTTTAGGGAAAATATCAGAGGGCTCCTGAATTGCAAGGAGGAGAGGAAAGGAGATAAATATAGGCCTTGATGCTTTTTGAGAACCACTGAGGAGAGCCCTGGTTCCACTGGTGGGAGGGTTATTTCTAAAATAGTGGCTGGTCTGAAGTATTCCTTGCTTACAATGGGGGTTATAATGTAGATGGCTCTCAAAAAGCATCCCCAACAGGTGTGGATTAGGAGGCACAGGGTTCCATGGAGGGCCACTTCTTGGCCTGATAGTCTCCATGTCCAAGGAGATGAGTTTGGGGAGATCTTTCTACTTCATGGGCCTTATTAACTCATTCCTTGGCCAACACTAGTGGTGCTACTCATTTTTATCTTATTCAACAAAATCACACTTTAAAATGTGCTCCCAGCAGTTCTTAAATGTAAAAAGCATCCTTTAAAACCTTTAGGCTCCAAAGCCATATCACCTCACCTGGGAGCTTGCTAGAAATGCACAGTCTCAGGCCCTACCCCTGAAACATTGAGTCAGAAGCTGCGTTTGAAGATTTAAGGTATCCTGGGTGTTTTGTGTGAAGGTAGTATTTGAGAAGCTTCATGTTAAAACATTACTCCATAACTTGGTATAAACTACTTCTGTTAAACTCAGTGCTTCCACTTAGCTTGAAATGATGACTATTGTTTTAATGATGAAGGTTTACATAGGAAGAACCTTTGAGTGAATGCTCTGAAGTGGTTCTCCTTTGCTACGGCATCTAGATTCTGCGAACAACTTGTAACTATTTGATTTAGGAAAAATACAACAAAATTAATGAAAATATGGTATCCCATTAGGATGGTGACCTGGAACTGTGGCTAAGTAGATTTTGTCATCATTGACATTGGATCCTGAGTGAAGCAGATACATTTTTTGACAGTCAAATGACAGGATGTAGTAAAGCTAGAAGAAAAAATAAACCTAAATATTTCAAATTCTAGTGTTGTGTACCGTCAATTTAATAATATTATATACCTTTGATGACTTGAAGACTACAGCATTCAAGGTGCTGTGCAATTTTTTATTTGCTTGGAAAACAGTACTCCTTAATACTGAAATTCAGGAATCTTAAATCAGAAAGTTTTTATGGGTAGTCCATTTTTATGGCTGTCTTGAAATAATGATAATAGATATAGAATGATTATTTTGTAATAGGATGAGATCACTTATAAGTTATGACTATCATAATGGCATTTTTATAGATTATTATCAAGGTGGTTTTTTTTTTTTTTGGTTTTGTGTCTATTCCTTGTTTAACATGGCTTATTTTTTTTTTAAATAAAGGAATTACAGAGGAGAGTTGTTCTCTTTTTTTTTTTTCCCTTCTAAAAGCATCTAAAATGAGATTTTGATTTTAGAGGTCATAAGGAGGTGAGAGGACAGACAACACGTGGGAAGTTATTTCTTATGAAATTGTCTGGCCTTAATTACTACAGTGTCCCAGTACCACCCTTACGTTTCAAAGAAGTAGATTCCTGTGTATGCCTTTGTCTCTAGATTTTTGAGTGAAATAGTAGGGTGTGCTTTGCAAAATGTCATCGTTGATGCTGAGTTTCAGAGTCTTTAATTAGGAAACTGAAATCTGTATATCGAGATTTGTAAATCATCTAAATTGCAGAGCAATGTTTTAGAATACCGCTTAAGGGATTGACATTAAAGCCTTTTTCTTTTTACGAAATGCAATAATTTCCTCAAATCCTCACTCATTAGACCTCTACTAACTATAGTGCTGACTTTTTTTTTTGCCCTAAAGTCTGTGAATTCCAAAGAAATGCTTCACCATTTCCCCCATTATTATAGCCACCTGGAAGCAGTATTCATGTATTGGATTAAAAACATAACAATGAATGATGAAATTGTGTTTCATGGTATGCCTATTGACATAAATGTATAAAAAAGGGAGAAGGGAGACTATTTTTATCTGAAGGGGGAATTTTTAATTTCTGGTTGCAAACTTTTATATGGGTTAAATCAAACCCAGGAATGAAATTTGTAAATTCTTACATATAATCAGATTGTCATTACTTATCTTACCCAAGTATTTTTTCTCCCCTCCCCCACCTTTTTATATCAAATTAGAATCTTTGGAAGAACTGCCAGAAATGAGTGGAAAAACAACCCGGCGATTCTTCTTTAATTTAACTTCCATTCCCACCGAGGAGTTTATCACCTCAGCCGAACTTCAGGTTTTTCGGGAACAGATGCAGGAAACTTTGGAAAACAATAGCAGTTTCCATCACCGAATTAATATTTATGAAATTATAAAACCTGCAGCAACTAAATCAAAGTTCCCCGTGACCAGGCTTTTGGACACCAGGTTGGTGAATCAGAATGCAAGCAGATGGGAGAGCTTCGACGTCACCCCTGCTGTGATGAGGTGGACTGCACAGGGACTCGCCAACCACGGATTTGTGGTGGAAGTGGCCCACTTAGAGAACCAGGGTGTCTCCAAGAGACACGTTAGAATTAGCAGGTCTTTGCACCAAGACGAGCACAGCTGGTCACAAATAAGACCGTTGCTAGTAACTTTTGGCCATGATGGGAAAGGACATCCTCTCCACAAAAGAGAAAAGCGTCAAGCAAAACACAAACAGCGCAAACGTCTTAAGTCCAGCTGTAAGAGACACCCTTTGTATGTGGACTTTAGTGATGTGGGGTGGAATGACTGGATCGTAGCCCCCCCAGGGTATCATGCCTTTTACTGCCATGGGGAGTGCCCCTTTCCCCTGGCAGATCACCTGAACTCCACTAATCACGCCATTGTTCAGACGTTGGTCAACTCAGTTAACTCTAAGATTCCTAAGGCGTGCTGTGTCCCAACGGAACTGAGTGCTATCTCCATGCTGTACCTTGACGAAAATGAAAAGGTTGTATTAAAGAACTATCAGGATATGGTTGTGGAGGGTTGCGGGTGTCGTTAGCACAGCAAAATAAAATAAAAATATATATATATATTATATATTTTAGAAAAAAAAGAAAAAACCCAAGTTGACACTTTAATATTTCCCAATGAAGACTTTATTTATGGAATGAAATGGAGAAAAAAAAAACAGCTATTTTGAAAATATATTTATATCTACAAAAAGAAGTTGGGAAAACAAATATTTTAATCAGAGAATTATTCCTTAAAGATTTTAAAATGTATTTAGTTGTACATTTTATATGGGTTCAACCCCAGCACATGAAGTATAATGGTCAGATTTATTTTGTATTTATTTACTATTATAACCACTTTTTAGGAAAAATAGCTAATTTGTATTTATATGTAATCAAAAGAAGTATTGGGTTTGTACATAATTTTCCAAAAATTGTAGTTGTTTTCAGTTGTGTGTATTTAAGATGAAAAGTCTACATGGAAGGTTACTCTGGCAAAGTGCTTAGCACATTTGCTTTTTTGCAGTGCTACTGTTAAGGTCACAAGTTCAAGTCCAGAAAAAAAAAGTGGGTAATCTACTCTGCTGACTTTCAAGATTATTATATTATTCAATTCTCAGGAATGTTGCAGAGTGGTTGTCCAGTCCATGAGAACTTACGTCCTTATTAGGTGGAATATTTGGATAAGAACCAGACAATGCTGATCTAATATAGAAACCCTCCCCCCACCCCTTAATTTGCAGAAAGAGTGTAAAGCAGGACCAATAGAAATAATTAGGAAAATGATGAACCTGCAGGAAAGTGGATGAAGGTTTGATGTTCTTCTTTCCTAAACTAGTGGTTCCTTCAGAGGGGCTGGTTTGGCCAAAGTATTAAATAAAACATAAGATTTCTTCATTATTGATATTGTGGTCATGTATAATTAAAATTCATATCTAGTGGCCCTCATGAAGACTTGGAAATTGATTTGCAGTTAACTTTTACCTCAGCTGGGAGCTCTTTATGCTCAGAAGGACCCAATTTTCTAACTTTGCCCAAGACACCGCAAAATTGCGCTCATCGTTCTTTCTGCCCACCCCCCGTTCTGTGTTCCATCAGCTTGCTTTTCTTTCCAAGGTTATATGTTTGAACACATTTCTCCAAATGTTAAACCTATTTCAGATAATAAATTTCAAAGCTCTGGCATTTCAATTTATAATGTCCAACCTGTAAGAAGAGAAAATGATGTGTTTGTACAGCGTTCACAGTGATTACCTTGGGTTTCCAATTTTTGCTTCTGAAGTTACCCCTGTTGGAGGGAGGTGGGGAAAAGGCAAGCAGCAGTCAGAAATTTGCAAGCAAGTCATTTGATAATTCCTATTTGCACCAAAGGAATTACCAGTGACTTACTATTCCACATGAACCTCTTTGGGGCAGAAAGATTTAAGAGAAATCCAAAGCTACAAAACAGGCAAAACCTGGGGAATCCAAGATAAAGTTTCAGAGATAATATCCCATGCAACAGAGGCAATGGTGCCAAAAAATTAGAAAGGGAAAGTGTCTGAGATCAGCTTCTACAAGGACATCTGCCAATTGGACTGAGGCCCAAGTAGAATGAAGTCAAATTAGGCTGCTCAGAATGAACACTTCCAGTGGCAGAGCTGCCGTGCTCTGGGCTGAAATCAGACGCAGGGAAGGCTTTGGTGGGTGGGCATGCTGGTACAGCCAGGGAGCCAGGACTCCCCATTATTCTACTGGACGTATTTTAGGCCAGTTTCTAGGACTTTGTGTCATTTCTGAACCTAACTATGAATGCAGAGGTCTAGTTCTAATATTCTTTCCTAGCCTTGCTTTGGAACTGGCTGAAAAAATAGTGTGTGAGTAATGGAACAGGCTGTTACAATCAAATTCTTCCCAGGAATAAACTTGCCTTGACCATGATTGTAGTTACATTTTGGGTGTGATAGGTTTAATCCTTGCCTTGAGATTATGTAGATTATATTTTTAAATGAATAACAAGTTGTCTTTTATTCCTTCTATTCTCACAACCTTTTAGTTTCTTTTTATCCATATCACTATTGCTCTTTTGTAGGCGAGGATCATTAGGATTAGATACAACTTTACAAGGCAGGATAGGCTCTCTCCTCCAGTCATTCTCTACCTTCTCTTGCTATGGAAATGAGCAGACTGCATAGTCTTAACAGCTTAAAAAATAACCCATGTTTTCTCATCTCCAAATACTCTAGAGAATGAGAGTATAGCACAAGAATTTTCATCCATTTGGCAGATGCAGCTACTCTTGACTTCTCTCGATTTCTGTTTCATTGGTTCTGATTTTCTTGGTTAAAATGGTTTTCATCGGTATCAACTCAAATGTGTTCTCTTTCCTGTTTTACACACACACATATGTGTGTAAAATATGTGTAAACATACACATAAACAGTATGTAATATGTATAAATATATATGCAGAATTATGTAATATATATTACACATGTATAGATGATGGCATTTTCAGCTTAGGTTCAGGAATTTTGTAATAGTTGAGAACTCTGACCCTCTTGGCAACTCCTTTGAGAAACAGAATATCCCTACATTCTACGTTCTTCATTCTGAGAAACATGTCACAACTAACCTCATGACACTAGATCTCTTGAATCTTCAGTCACTATTCTGTAGGAAGCTTTGAATCCTTTCAGAGTTGGTGTTTTAAAAAGTGTAGTAGTTTCTGAATTTGGGGGAATTGCCTTTCAAAGTTGATTAAATTGTGTCATCTGTTTTTGTGCTTGTCTGGGCTGCGTCATGGGCCTCCCTGGCATGGTTTTAACCTGCATGGCGGGTCCAGAAGGCTCTGTTCATTTTTTGACTTCAAAATTGGGGAGGGGGAGGATGAATGGTTTACACATTTATCTGCGCTTCCATCTTTTCATAATTTCTACTTCAGTTTCCACTTTACGTGTATCTCAAGAGGCAAAGAGTGGAGAGATGATCTGCAAATCTGATCTATGTAGCAAGCTACATAATTGCTAGATAATCTAAGAGTTCCATATGTTTCCCTTAGTTTTTTATTGGAGGTGGAAAAATCATTTGTGCACTGGAAGCACTTTTCAAAATAGCATATTTCTATTCTAGAGCCATGTTAATATTAAGATATTGATTGATTCAGTGAATGTTAGATGCCACAGCCGCCCCCGCCCCGGCCTGCCCCAATCTGTTCTAAGGCACAAAGAACATAGCCTTGCAGTGAAGAAGTGTAGAGTAAGTGTGACATGGGCAGACAATCCCAAAGCTGTTAGAATGCCCTGGCACTGTTCCTTTTCTTTTTAATTGTTTTTGCAAGGGTGGGGTAGGATGAGATGGGGGATGAAATGCAAGTTTGCTTCACTGGGGTAAATTGCCTTCCTCTTTCCTCCACCCTGCTGGCATAAATTACAGCCTTACGGTATTCTCCGGGGCAGAGTTTCTGACCATCTCCCTGCCCTGCAAACTTCAAAGTGAACTTCTACCTAACTTGGGGGACCCATGCTCTACATAAGACTTGTTAGACTTTAATGTGCATATGAATCACTAGTCCTGCCTCAGGGAGAATACAACATTAATGTGTATACAGACCCATTGGGATCATGTTATTAATACAGGTTCTGTTTCAGTAAGTCTGGGTGGGGCCTGAGATTCTGCATTTCTAACATGCTCCCAGGTGAAGCTGTTACCGCTGTCCCAAGGACTGCACCGGGTAGCAAGACTAATAATTATCTTCTTAATCACAACAGCAGAAAGTTGGACCGACCAAGTTTAGGCTCCTCTAACAAGTAACACAGGGGAAAAACAAACAACAAAACCTGTATACAGGATGGCATTTGAATACATTTCACCATACCTGAAATGATGCCCTACATATTTTTTTCAAAGGCATTCTTTTCCCCCACAAGATGACTGGCAATTTTGTGTTCTAGCTACCCTCAGACATGAAAACACTTGGTTGCTTATCTTGTAAAATCTGCTTTGCTTGCTTGCTTGGGCATGTATGTAGTCAGTTTAGTCAAATACGTGTCAGTACATCTATGTGGATGGGGGAGCAGGTGCAAGCCCTTAACGTACTTTAAAAAAGTTTAACACTTAAGTCAGTCCACTGAGTTGATCCGTGTGATCTTAGTGCCAAGCGTCTGAGTTAAAAGTTTTCCCTTTGAAGGCAGCAACAAGATGTCATACATTTGAAGCATTTGTTTATACTAAAAATGATGCTTGACTTTTTTTTTTTAAGTTCTAAGACAGTTCACTGTACAACACCACTGAGCCTAGAGGGTGGATATAAAGCTGCCCAAGCTGGTATTTGAGGTTTGATTTAATGGAGATTGGAATTTGTGATGCTGCGGCTGGCTTCGAACAAGGTGCTGAAGTGAACGGGCTCAGGTTCGAAAAAGCACAAGGAAACGATTTCCCTCTACAAAGGGGGTTAGCAGAGAAATAACTTTGTGTTGGCACCTTCTTTTTATCCAAACGTCCTATGAGGGTCAGGTGTTTCCCAGCCTCATTTTACTTTTAAGGGGGCACTTTTGAAGATTTCTTATAAGCAGCACAGATTTGAATATTTGTTGAAGAAATGCTGGAATGAATGAATTCCTAATTTCAAATATACTTTTATATATAATATCTACATATATAATATATGTGTACACACCTCCCCCCAGGGAGAATTTTGATTTCTTCCTTTCTAGAGTTCAAATACTGAGTGTAGGGTGCCTACTTTTTTACTCCTTGGGTTTATCATTTCATTTAGATTTCTGTGTTTTGAATTGAGTCCCTCTGAGCTGCTTAAGCAGCATGCCAGACACTGACTTGCACACCACTTCCAGCCTGGGTTTGCCCTGCACCCTGGGCCCCCCTCCAAGGCAGTGTCAGGAGGGCATTATTGTTGCCTTGCCGTCCGCTCTGCTCTGATGAGATCTCTCTGCAAACCAGCGATTTGCTTAAAGCTTCCCTCGTAAGGAGCATGATCTCATCTGGACTGCATTTACACTGGAACCACTTGGCCACAACACTATGAGAGAATAATTATTGAACTATTTTACTGTACAACTATTTCCAAATTGTTGATTTTTTATTGATTTCAGGAGGCAAGCTAATTGC